GATTGCGAAAATAACTACGTAAGAAATGATGAACCATGTGTAAACTACTTTGGTAAAACCAAAACAGTAAACAAACATTAGCTGAATTATTAACCCTGAACCCGACAGGAGACCACATTGTTTTCACACTACCCCTCACATTGCGTAATTCCTATACAATCTATTTCATGTCGCATGAAAACACTGAAGAMTATTAAATAACGTAACAGAATAATTATAAACTGAACTTACATTACGGTAATTTTTTCAGTAAGCAACTGTTGACGATTAGATATGGATTTCACGTGAATTGGATTCAATATGGCGGACTTGACGACTCTCAATCCTTGAGCAAACATTATAAATTAACTAAATTAAATGTAATAGGATATTAATTTAATTAAAATGAACGTTCGAGAATGGAAACGTTCAATACTTACAATATAATAGAGAACGTTGGATTGTCGTTGAAACTAAAGGTTAACAATAGACAATTTAATTCGTCTCGACGACAAGTATAGTGTGACGTCGACGCCTGTTAACGAAAGAAAGAACGACTCTTGTTCCTTGTTCGTCGACTCACAGTCCCTCTTCACCCTATGTCAAAACGACTTGGACGGTCGATCGATGACGTATCCACTTGTGTTTTGCGCGTGCGCGGCACACAGTAGTACCACACTTCAACAGTGCTGCCAACCCAAACTTCAGACGTATTTCTTCCAAGCCATTATAATATAATATATAGTCTTTACTCTTATTGTTGCATTGTTTAGACAGCTGACAGTCTGTACGCTGTACCGACTGGCGACTGTACCACAGATATGTATAAATGTATAATATGTTTATTGTTTATTATACTATACATATCTGTGGTATATAATATATTTTATGTACATTGGTGGATTATATATATAGTATTGGCGCCATTGGACCATTGAACTGTATTGTTCAATGTTCAACGCATTCGATATTCGAATCATTCGATTCTTCTCATTCGCCACTAAAAAACATAATTATCATGGTTTAAAATAATTTATTAATTGATACAATATCTTAATATCTTATACATTCTGTATAATATAATACGTCACTAGCACGGAGGTCTAGTACGTCATATAAAACAATACATTAAAAATTTTCATTTTTTTTATAGGTAATAATTCTTATATTGGTAGGCGATGGTGGATGGTATATCTACCACAGTACCACACCGTTCATGGCACAAATTTTAAAAAATTATCGAACTTTAAAGTACCGTCATAACAATGATATGAGAAATATGTAATTTAGTATTTTCACTGAAACATTTGAAAGTTGAAACAATGTATAATTCAAATACTTTTCCAACTATTAAAGAAAATTGTACTTACCGGTCACTACTATTGGTATAAGTGTATTAGGTATTTTAGTATTATGAATTATGATAGTACTTAGTATTTATATTTGACTCATAAAATTCAGTAGATAATTTAATCTTTATGAGAGCTTATTAATATTGTGTCATGAACTTGATATATAGTATTATATGTCATTATAGGTATCGCCGTATCGGTTTGACTCCTACGCGGCTGCACAAGTCACAACGTTCTCAAATATAATATTACTAAAATACTTAATTTTAGGTA